AATACATACATACATACATACATACATACATACATACATAGCAAGCAAGCAAGCAAACTGAATGTTAAAGAGACCCTTTCTAACATTAATAGTTGAGTAGCAGAACTAGGTACCCAGTGAGACAGTGGGCTTTACTTGGTATGTTCAAGTAAAAATTAGATAGTCAGGGATGCCTTCATTCAGATTCCTCCCCTGATCACAGGGCTGGACTCAGAGGCACTTCCCAACTCTATAGATTCCGTCATGTAAAAATATCCTACAAACTACATGAGATTTAGGACTTTATTTTGTCAAAAGATATTTTAAGTTCTACTTAGAGATTTTTTTTGTTTACACATTAATAACCATGAACATAAAATGACATTTATCAGAGTCATGATATAACACTGGCCACATAAATAACAGAATGTCCAGGTTACTATTTGAGAAATGACTCTTAAATTGTTCAAGTAGAACTATGGAACTATAAGAATTACAGACTCTTGTTATAAATATAAGCTTAGAAGTTAGTACTTTATTTCTAACCTGTTTTTTCCCTAGCTATACAAGACATGTAGGGTTCTTAGGCAATAGTTCATCACTAAAAATATATTATTCATATTTTTCATGAAATATTTAAGGTTGAGTTTGAGAACACACAGTGGTATTACTCACTTTTTTTGTTTATGTAAACTGGATAATATTGAAGACATAAATTCATTTGTCCGGCAGGGATGAAGTACAAAGAAAGGCTGACCAAGTAATGGATGTTCCTGAAAAGAGATAATCTGGTTAAATGTGTAAATGGCATTTTTAGTATACAAAATTGTTTACAGTTCTCAATTTGTCCCTGAAATATTTTTTTTAAGATTCTTTTTTCAATGAATGGAAGTGAAGTGAAATTGAATAGTCCAAGATCATCTTATAAGCCTGAGGCTTGAATCCTAGACTTCTGAACCTATTCAATATTATTTTGAATAAACCATCCTCATTTATTTAAGTACAGAAGTATTAAGATGGTTAAATAACAAAGTCTGAACAATAATTATAACTGTACACAAGTTAGCATTAACTGATAGCGTTCATACAATATTGCATTTACCCTAAGTAATGAACCATCTAAATATTATTCTTAAATTATTAGTCATATAAGAATTTATTTAGCATTTGAACATTAAAGATGTTTAAGAAGATTATGAGCTTGTGGTAAAGTCCAAATACTCAACATCCCTAATTATTTTTTAAAAATATAACTCAAGAAAATAAGAATCCTGGGGCAGGATGGGCCAGCAGGATCTGTATAAAATGTTAAAATAAGAATAATTAAAATAATTCCCAAGCTATGCCTTTTCCCTCTCTTCACATTAGCAGAAGGATTTATAGAGATAGAATAAATGTAACTTTGAATATACATGATTTACTCTTCTTTTTCAGACCAGACCCAATGCTAAGTGCTAAACCAGTATTGGTATTATTGAAATTGTATTAGTCATAATTGGGTTTGGCAATCAGAATTTACATTTGGCTCATTTTGATTATGTTCCTATAGTATGATAACACTGCCTATGAAAATAAACATTGCTACTTTGTCAGAACCTCTTTTCACACAATTTTTTAAATTGGATCCCAAAAAAACATAGCAAAGAGGAATGTAATTTAATTGAGTAATGAGAATAAAAATATAACACAAAAATATAACATGTTCAAGATAATAGTAATCTTAGCTGTATGTAGGACTACTATTTTTTCCATTTACCAGCTTACATCAGCATCAAACTATCGTATGTTCTTTTTCTACAGATCAAATCCTCTTTTATTTTTGGAAATATAAACATACTCATTTTCATATCTGCCTTATATTATCCAGAAATGGTCAGCACGTGGCTTTCTGGATGTTGTTGAATTTCAACTCTCATCAAATGTAGTTGCCATGGTTAGAAATTGAAATTATGCTATCCTATAGTTCCATATTTAAACTCTGAAACACTTAAAGATTTTGGGAAGTGACAAGTCTCTCAGCAAGTGAAACAATAGTACTGCCAATTTATAGATGATCTTTAATTTCATACAAAATATAAGAATTAATTTTTAAAGATATGCAATATAGTGCAAAAATATACACTGAAATTGTAACATTTACCAAACTGAACAAGCAAGATAGAAGAACATTAAATATGTTTCAGGTTCCTTTTATTTTAATCCTGTAGATCCAAACTACAAATTCATGCAAGGACATTACCATCTGTTACTCATATAAATGAACTTATGTCATTTTTCATTATGAAATAAGTGCCAAACTGGAAAAAAAATTCTACCAAGCTCTACTACTGCATCAGAAATACTTGAAAAAACTTGTGGCAAAGACAGATTTCTGGAAAAGAACCAAGTCTTGAAACTGGCAATAAAATTTTGATTATTTGTCATCAAGTCGGTATCAACTCTTAGTGACAACATAGAGAGAAATTCTCCAGGATGAGCTGTCCCCAACCTGACCCTTCAGGTCTTCTAAAGGTGTACACAATGCCACTGTAATAAAATCCATCCACTGTGATGCTGGTTGTTTTCTCTTTCTTTTCACATTTCCCATAATGATAGACTTCTCTAGAAAGCTAGGTCTTTGCATAATGTATCCAAAATATAATAATTTGAGCCTGGTCATTTGTGCCTTGAGTGAGAATTTGGATTGTTTTTCTTGGCTATCCATATATGCTCAGAAACTTCTCCAACACAAACATTCAAAAGCATCAATATTCTTTCTATCCAACTTCTTCAAAGACCAACTTCGCTTCCACGCAGCCTGCACAAGTCTGATCTTTGTAGGTATTGACAAATCACAGTATCTGAATATTCTATGCTATCCTACCAAGTGTTACTCTGTGTTGTATTTGGTGCTAGTTCCTTTACTTTTCATAGTTAATCCTAAAAAGCAGAAACTAACTACAACTTCAGTATCTTTGGGCCAAGTCTAAGTCTAGCTGCTGTACCTGTTATTAGTTTGGTTTTCTTTAGATTTAATATTATCCCCATGTTTTCACTGTGCTTGATTTCCATTCCTAAAACCTGTGGATCATTTCAGCTATCAGAGTAGGATCCTTACATACCACAGGTATTGAAGTTCTTTCCTCCAATTTTAAAAACACACTCCTCTTCTTGCAGTCAGAGAATATAGGTTGAATAAAGGAATGAGTGAATAAATAAAGGTTAAATAAAAAGGAGAGAGTATATAGCATTTTTTCACTCCTTTGCCAATCTGGAGCAAGGCTATATTGCCTTGTTCTGTCTGGACTCTGGCTTCCTGACCTGTATATAGATTTTGCGTGAATATAATGAGATGTTCTGGGATCCTATTTTTTAAGGACATTTCACATGTTGTCATGATCAGCACAATCAAAGGCTTTTCTATAATCAATCAAGCACATATTGACTATTTATTGGAATTCTTTCATTTTCATAATTAACCAGCATGCATCAGTAGCAATGTTTCTTATTCCTCAGCCAAGCTTGAACATCTGACATCTCCCTTTCTATAAAAGGCTTTAATCTGTGTTGGATGATTCTAAGTATTACTTTCCTAGTATGTGAAATAAAGGGATATTATATGATAGGTTGCACACTGTTAAATCTCCTTTCTTTTGAATTGGTATGTAGACTAACTTTTTCCAATCTGTTGACTATGTTGTTCTCCAGATTTGCTGACATAGTTTGGTTAGAACTTTTACAGATTCTTCTTCTGTTGCTTGCCATATTTCTGTAGATATTCTATCAATTCCTGTAGCCTTCCAGTTTGGGAAAGACAGGTATGTTGATCTAACTTCATCTGCAAGATTTTGTAAATAGGAAATATTTTTCAAGGTATCTTGGATGCTGACATTGTTATCTTCCATGATTTAAATATACTCCTTCCATCTTTGTTTGATCTCCTTTAAATCAATTACTATCTGTCCACTGGCATCCTTTAGTATACCAGTTGGAAGTTGGAACCTCTTTCTTAGTTCAGCACTCTTTTGGAAGACTTCCCTTGTTTTCCATGTCTGTTTCCATTTTCCATGTCTTTCCAGATGTCACTCTAATACCGTTTCTTGTTTCTTCTAAAAGTTCCTTGAAATTCTTTGTCAAGTTCCTTTCTAAGGTCTCTGTTTTTCTTGACTTCAGCTTCTCTTTTCTTCTTGGCAATTTCCACCATTTGTTCTGATATCCAGTTTGTTTTCTTCTCTCTCTTGGGCTTTTTACATTCATCCTTAGTAACTTTTGATTTCATTCTACAGTTCCTTTGGTTTCCTATCAATGAGGTTTGGACCTCACAGCAGTTCCTGATATCCTGTTACTGTTGTTTAGTGAGGACCACACGGGTTGTTAAGCGAGAACTTCATGCGATCACGACTTCTGACGTCCCGCCAGCTTCCCCTTTGCTTGTGGGAAGCTAGCAGGGAACGTTGCAAATCACAATCCTGTGACTGCGGGATGCTGTGACAGTCAGAAATCTGGGGCAGTTGGACTGCCCAGATTATGATCGCGTGACTATGGGGGTGCTGCGCAGGCCAGAACTTTGAGGACCGATTGTAACTACCATTCATTCAGCGCTGACACAAGTTCAAACAGTCACTGAATAAGTGGTCATTAAACAAGGACCACCTTTAATATAGTAAATTTGATTTCTCTTTCCTAAGCTATGCAGTCCAACTACATTTTCTTCTTTAATATTTCCAATTTTGGCATTCTGGTTTCCAACCCCAAGCTGCACATCTTGCTTGCATGTTCCATAGATTTCCAACTGAATTTGACTATAACATTCATCAACTTCCCCTTCTTATGGATCAAAGAGAAAAACTTGGATAACTGACATATTAAAGAGTTGTCCACAAAGTCTAACAGTATAATATAAATAATATTGATATTATTTGATTATTGATTTCATTGTACCCAAGTACTGTCTTTTCTATAACATTCCTGACCATCAAAGCAATACCATTTGTTTTTCATGTCCTAATACTAAACGATAAGATCTTCTGCCTAAAAGTGCCCAATTCCAATCCATTTTAATTCGTGAACACCTAAGATAGCAATGTGTAGCTGATTCTTTTCTTCTTTCACTGTGTTGAGCTTTTCCATGTTCCTGCCTCTTTTATTCCAGGTTCCCACTATAATTCTCTCTTCACGTTTGGATTTTATTTTCCTACATGGCAACTTCAGCATCTAGATGTTCCGAAGTGTTTAATTTAGTCATGTGAAAAACACCAGTAGTACCAGGTTGAGTGCCATCGGACCTGAGACACGTCATCTGACACTATATCATCAGTAATTTCTATCCATTTGAGGGTGTTACCAATGATAGTAATATGACAAACAAAACTTATACAACAATGAATCGTTACCCTATCTTTATTGGTAAGTTTGATGTAGCAGTAAAGCTACTGTAGTAAAGCTAATATACATCTACAAGTTGAAACAGGCCTTTCTCCTTGGTGGCTCAGTTCTACTGCCTTTGCTACATCATGTTGCACTCTTAGTATCAGTATCATCAGCTTATCATTTACACATATGGTTGGTAGTCCTCAGACATCATTAGTCTTTTCTCTACAAGGGATGGAGAACCAGAGTTTTTCCAGATGTTCATAAATCACAGTTCCCAGCATTCTTCTTCATACTGACTTGAATTGCTGGGTTTGTATTACTTTGAGAGTCACAGGTTCCCTGTTCTAGCTTTATAGCCTGCTAATACAGATCCCAAATCATTTGGATTGTGTATCTTCTTATGGAGAAAGTGGATTAACTT